GTGTTTCATTGTGATGGTTAAGGTTGTGGTTAGTGTGTGTGTGTGTGTGTGTGTTTGTGTGTGTGCGCTTGCATCGCAACCACTCATCCTTCTGGTGTCGTACTGATCAGTGCCGTTGCCCCCACCCCTCCCATCGGCTTTTACGTGATGGTGCAGCTTTGAAGGAACAGCTTGAGGGGCTTTAGCCATGGTAGAAGAATCCAGACGGTTTGGATCCACTAACAAAAACATCATGTTACGTCAAACCAAAATCCCCAACTATGATTGAGCCGAGCCGACACGAACAGCAGCCGTGTGCCCTACGTTAACGGTTCGCCGCGTATCTGCGGCAGAATTGGGATCACACAGAAAGAGTGGTGTCTTTTCTGAATGTTTTTGTCTGTTAAGAAAAAAAATCTCATGTCTGAGGAAAAAAAATGCCACATATTGCATAAAAGTGGGCATCAGTGGGTCCTCCTTTGATCGGAGCAACTGCCTGGCACGGGGTTGGCACAGAGGCAGTAAAGAGCTTGGATGTTCTCTGTTGCCAATCCAGATGTCACACGCCTCAAAACTCTCAGGAGTTAGAAGCTGCTGTGTTCGGTCCTCTAATTTGGGGAAATGCTCAAACATAGTTGGGTCTTTAAAAAGCAACAACGCTAAAAAGGACACTGGAGAGACGCCCGTGTCCTTGACGCTAGCCTTTGTGCGATGAGAGTGTCTTTTTCACATGTTTAGGCGCCGACGGATCCAAAACCAGCTGTGATAGTGAGGGAGGTGGGAGCCTTGTGCTCAGAATACACAAACTTTATAGAAATATGTAGTTGAATTTATACATTTAAACATAATTATTTTGTATCCACAAACATACTCAATTTGTACTTATTTTTCTAGACAAGAAGCAAGTGAGAAGTACTTTACTGTAGATGATGGAAAAAAGACTCCACAATTATCTTTAATTACGACATATCACAGGATTTTCTTTGACTATATCATCATTTCTCTCACATCTTACTGAATCGAAGGATTATTTTTTTAGCGCCCTGCCCCTCTTTAACAAACTCTAGAGCAAATAAAGCTTAAGACTAGATCGCGGTGTGAAACCACCATCTTCAGCCTGGCAGCTCGGCTCTTGTTGAGTGCTTGTAGAAACGCATTGAAGCTCATCTGAAGCTGCTCTCAGTTGCACAGATGAGCCGTGTCCACTAAATAATCTGTCTGCTACTAAGCTTCCTCTTACTGTGAACATGCAGAGGAAATAGAGAGGTGTACAGGAATTATGTATTGGGGGGTAGATGTATTTAGATGGAGAGCAGATCAGAGAAGCTAATGATAAGGAAAAGAGTCGCTTCCTCTGAGTGCACGCCAGAAGTGAATGACCTTCATCAGATGTGTTTGACCTAAATTAGGTCCCTAGTGTGGAGGGAGAGTGCACACACTGCAGTACAGTAAAAAAGATTTCAGATATGACAGGGGCTCACCATTAACTGCAGTGAAGCTCCTCCCCAGGCTGTAAAGGAAAATTAATTCTAAAAAAAAAAAGAAAAAAACCCATTTTGGAATATGGGAAATAACATTATATTGTGCTAAATATGTTTATGTGTAAATTCAACCCCGTTATATAGACCACTTTTCTTTCTCTGACAGAATGATCTGAGCTTCAATGTCCGTCTATTGGGTGTGGTGCAACTATACTGAAGCCTCATGCACATTGTCCTGAAGTGAACTTTTGAACTGTGATCACATCGTCGTCACACCATAGCAAATAGTTTTCTTTTCAGAAAATATGTGAGTTAAATGTATGTATAATTGGGTTGTTAATGGCATAACTCGCTATAGCCTGAACAATAAGGAACTATTAATATTTGATAACGGCAGTGACTCATTACACATAGAATCGACAAAGTGATTGTCATGTAGAAAAACAAATGTGTGTGAAAGTGAAAGATATACGGGGACACACAGAAAAGTCAGGCGGTAAATTTGATCTGGTTTGTCCGCCATCACAAAGATGGAAGGTAGCACCAATTCAGCAAAGCTTATCAACAGAGAGAACATCCTTAATTTTCCTGTTTTTATTACTTTGTGTTATGACGTGGTTTACATTCCATTTTGTCAGCTTGTCATTATTTGTCACAATCTGTCACAACCGCTTCTCATTTGTTTACAGAGTATGTTTGTTTTTCTTGAGGTACATAGCATTGTTAAGAAATAACACAGTACATGCTGCAAACTGGCAAGCTCACAAAGTAACGCACCGCTGTTTCAAGACACTTGATTACTGTGCTTTTTCTTTTTTCTACCTGAACCCTCGTTTGTGCGACTCATTCGGGCTGGCATCCTTCAAACTGTTCACTGGAGCGAGTCGTCTCTCCTTCCTACATCTCGTCATATGTCTGCGTTCAATGTTCCAGGTCTCTGCATTGTATACCTCTAAAGTTTTTAGAGTGTTTTTTTTTTTTTTTGAAGTGCCATGAAGAGTTTAGTAGAACAAGCATCCTTCAGTCATTCAGGGGCACGGGCTCGATCTACGGGAGCCGAGTCTGCTCGTTGTTCCACTGTGAGAACATTAGTCTTGTACTGACATGGAGAACATCCAAGCCTTCAATGCCTCCATGCCAGTATAGTGCCAGGCAGTGCAGTAAGTCAAGAGGAGGGCCCACAATAAGTCCCACTATAGCGAAAAGTGGCATCCGGGAGGTCAGAGGAGCTGTTACCTGGTCATCAAGCCACACGCTTCTCCGCCGTGTGCTTGGTTACAGGTTATCAGGTCTTCTCATTCAGAACGGTTAGGTATGGATGACTGAAAGATGCACATAGAGACCCACGCCTGTAACATCACATGTGTTGTTGTCCGCTGAACAAATCAAAGACTATAATGCGTTTTGTTACAGTATGTTGCATTATTTTTGTTAATCTATTTTTTGCTGTTAAAGATGGATATAATAACTTATTTGCTGGGAGTTGTATTAGATATAATAGAATATATAATATTTATGGGGGTGGGAGGTGGGTCTCAAGTCTTAATAATACATTAAAATTGCATTCAGCAATTTGTTTTTTTTTAAGGAAAGTTGCAATTTTTTTGTTAATTTTTTGCTGCCTATCAGTTCAGGAAGAATTCAGGACATTGCTCTTGCGTATCACAGATAGGATTTGTTGGCACATTGTCATTGCAGCAAACAGGAGTTTGACATAGCAATCTACTTAGTTTGGTTGTGTTATAGATGCGATGGAAAAACCGGATTATTTGATGGTGCTGAGTTGATCTACCTGACTCTGTCAAATATAATCTGCTGATAAATATACTGTCTTGTACAAAAAGTTTGTACATAGATTGTACATGGTTTCTTTTTGTATTTTCTCAAATTAAAATGGATGTATATGTGTTCTAAAACGGAAAAGTCTCCCCTTTTTTTTCTTCCAGCGATAAAGACACATTTCTGGCTCAGGGGGTAGAGTGGGTTGGCAGAAAAAGTGCTGCTCATAGATGCACTGCATGAATGCTTCTGTGAATGTCAATTTTTTTTTACTGTAAAGCCCTTTGAGAGCAAGTCTGGGAAAGCATTTGTGTTGCAGGGATTATTTTTTATATGTTTATCTCATTATTTGAAATATTTTTACGTCACATATAGGACAGACAAGGAATAATAATTCCGCATGAACAAATTCAAGGTACTTGTACTTTACGGATCATTTCCATTTTATGCTTCAGTTTCAGAGGGAAATTAACTTTTTAGTCCACTAAATGTATTTTACAGCTTCTATTTAATTTGCAGTGCAAGATTTTAAATGGAAACCATATGGTAACTTGTCATATATGTATTTGAACAATTTAAGAATTTAACTGCCAAACAGTATTGTAAGTTAGCATAACATTGCTGAAATACAAATGTTACTGAAAAGTTATAGAAGTTGATAAATAACCAACAACTAATCTAAATGTTTGAGGGTATAACAGTCTTAAGGGTGTAACCATCATCAGCAGGCAACATTATCGCTCCAGAGTAAAAAAAATGTTGACTAATTAGACAGAAAATGAATTACTATTGTTTCAACAGCTAGCGTTCATAAGTAAAAAAACATGTTTGCATGGCTTTTAATTAAATCATCTTAAAACTCAAGTAGACCACACAACACTAACTTTTATTATGAAGATCTCACTCTGCTATTCTGCCTTTAAAGGTTCAGTGTTTAGAATTTTGTGACATCTAGTGGTGAAGTTACTTGTTGCAGCTAAATATCCCTCGCCTCACCCCCCCCCCTTTCTGAACATGAGAGAGAACCCTGGGAAACCTTCAGTTGTCATAAAAACTCAAAATGTTTAGTTGGTCCAGTTATAAAAATGACTATAAAAACATAGCAGCCTCCGTAGAGAGGACCTGCCCCTGATGTAAATAGAAGTGTTTAAATAAAGAATTTAAATATAAAGGGCCCATTCTAGAGTAAAGGAAATTATACAATTTAGATGAAACACACTAGTGAAAATATCACTAGGATTATTATAAATTCAATTTCTACAAATATTTTTCTTTTCACCTAAACCTTACACAGTGAACCTTTAATTGTTTAATTTAATTGCTTAATAGGTTAATTTAATTGTTAATCTATTAACACTGCCACCGCACTCCTCCCGAACTAGAGGTGTGGCTTACAGCTCGGTTACAGCTCCATGACAACCTCCGCTGCCTTCTTAAGAGTGGAACAACAAAACCCTCCCATTTCATTTTCATACTTGCAGAGGCTGTGTAAAATGGGCCACTGACCACGGGCCCGTATCACTTTTGAAATACAGCTGCACCAAAAATCAAGATAAAAACTGGTGCGTTCCTGTGACACATCACCACTTCACAGTGTATATAGAACAGACAGGTACTGTAAAATTGTATTAGACCCAGTGTCTGACCTTGACTATCACCAGGGGGAAGTCTCAGATGAATGTATATTGTAT